CCTGGTGCCCAACGCCACGCTGCTGCTTCGGGCACGCCAGGCTCCACCGCCCGCCCCCAGCCCCGAATAAAGCGCCCACCCCAACACCGGCTGCTCTGCGAGGCTCTCTTGGCAGGGCAGCCCAGCAGCACTAGCTCCGCCGAGGAGGGGGCGGCGCCAAGCCGCCCCTCTGTAACTCGAGCCCCAGCTGGCGGGCCTGGCGGGCCTGGCCGCTGGGGCTTTGTCCTCTAGGTTCCTCTTTCTGCCCAGAAGGGCTAAGCTGCTCCAGGGGAGAGAGGGCCCGCCCCAGCCCAGCGCCTCTTGTGCCAGTGTACATATCCCTGTGCACAGACACGCGCAGGACCACAAGCACGTGGGGACACTTCAACACTATGCATCAAAGCCACTGCCCCAACGCTGACAGAACTGCATCTGGGCATCCACTTCCATGACACACCCACACGTAGCCGAGCTGCTGGAACACAGGCAGGTGGCCACAAGGCACAGCCGCGTTACTGACTGGCATGCAAACGTGCAGTATACACCAAGGTAATGGACACCATCACGTGCATGTGCACTGGAGGGTGACCCACCCACACTCTCTAGAAACTGTTGGTCCACAAGGTATGTGTGTGGTGGACATATATCCAAACACACGCACTATCAATCGAACACAGAGGTGCCACACGGGAGCACGGCCTCAGCACAATCACATCTATCAGACTTGCTCAGAGCAGGGACCCAGGATGTCCAGGCCACACCAGACAAAGACACGATGCCAGTGGAATGGAACATTTAATTGTTTCTGCAGTGCTCCCGGATGGGGATTGCGGGGCCTTTGACAGAGCCCTGGCTAATGGAACCAACAAAGGTGCCTATCAGCCAGTGCCAGGCAGTGTGGCAGCCTCAGGGCCAGGCTGAGGACAACCAGCACTTGGGCTGTTGCTTAAGACAATTTCTGAGACTAGTGGGTAAGGAATGTTGCCTTTGAATAGAGGAGAGGAAGCTACAGTTAGAGAGGGGAGGCGATAGGTCTTGGGTTGGGGGGAGGGGCTCCAAGGTCAGAAGGTTAGGAATAAGGGAGTTGTCACAAGGTCCTTCATGGGTGATGGCTGGGGGGAACGTGGTGACGGAGTCCAGGGGGCTGACTCGGCTCAGGCCAGTTTCAGGAACTCCTGCAGTGTGTTTTGCTCCACAGCCTCCACGAAGAGCTCATAGTCCTGGGGGAGGGGACAAGAGGTGATCACCTGAGTGCTGGTGCTTTGTCTCAGGTCTGACTCTGGCTGGTATCCTCCTACAACACTTCCCTCCACCCCCAACCCCCAGGCCCATACCCCACAATACTGGTCCCCGTTGACAATCTGGGGTGGGGTGGCCTTGGGGTTGCCCGCCAGGGCTCGCATCTCATCCCGCAGGGCGTTGTCTTGGGAGATGTCCACTAGCTGGTACTGGATGCGCTTCCCATCCAGGATGCGGGTCACCTCGCTCTGCTGGGACTTGATCTGGGGGCAAAGGGCGGGCAGGGGTTAGTGAGCAGACTGGAGGGTTTATGGGGGGGAACCCTGGGCAGAAAAAAAGGGAGTGTGGCCAGGAGCTTTTGTCCCCCTGTCCCGCTCCACGCCCTAGGGAAGGGTTCTGGCCACTAGGAGTTGGGAGGAGGAGTCAGGATTGTGGTGGTGTGGAAGGAGAGAGGGACCACCAACCATGAGGAGGGGAGTCAGAGTGAACATAAATGAGATAAATTAAGGGTGGGGAGAGCCAGGAGCTCAGAAAAGAGAAAGCAGGGCAGGCCTGGGTGGAGACGGGTAAGGCGCCACCTCCGCCCCAGGTACACACACACACACACAGTGGAGGAGGAGGGTAAGATAAGGACATGGTCAAGGATCAGCCTGGTAGTGGGGGTGCAGACGACCCAGGATGTCCGAAGGAGGTGTTCAGTGTTCAGCATGGGGCCGCGGAGCCTGCCCCCACCCAACTCAGGAGGCCGTGTCCAGCACCTCGCCGCCCCCGCCCTGGGGGCGGGTCCCAGGCGCCGGGTCCAGAGCAACAGGACCACCACCAGCGCTCTACCCCAGGGCGCACACTCACTTCGCGGGAGCCGGTGACGGACGTGCTGTAAACGCGCAGGCCGCTCATGCTGTGGATGGGCCGATGGGCCGACAGGCAGACGGGGTAGCGGTGGCAGCAGCTGCACGGCCTGGAGACGAGGCCGCCGCGCTCGGGAGCGGTTTCCTTCCTGCTCAGCCCGCGAGTCATAGCTCTCGGGACCAATGGGCGGCGCGGACAGGCGCGCGGCCAGGGCGGGACCTGCGCGACCCCGCCCCGCGCAGCGCCGGGCCCCCTCCCGCCCCCCTTGGGGACCGGGCGCGCCGAGGACCCCTGTCCCACGCAGGGCCGCCCTTTTCAGCCCTCCGAGCTGGGGCTGACAGTGTGAGGCTGGGGAGCGAGCTGACGGCAGGAAGGGCCGGGGAGGGCGTGGGTGAGGGTTTGGCAGAGGCCTCCCCTTCAGCCTTGCGCGGGTTTGCTGCACCCAACTAACTACCCACCCCCGGTGCCACGACAGCGCTGCTCCGCTCCGGGCTTTGAAGTCTTGGGCTGTTTTCAAACCTAAAGTTCCCCCGCCAGGGAGCCTCGCTTCACGGGCTGCCCCCCGACCCCAACACGCACACACTGCCCCAGGGGCCACTCACACGTAGCTAACCCTGCGGCACACCACAGCACGGAGGGCCTCTGATTAGAGATTTCCCCAGAGTTCCTCTCCGCTCAGATCAGCAGGTTTAGACGAGTGAAGGTGGTGGCAGGAGATGGGGCCACACCCTCACAGAGCCAGATGGAGGCCAAGGTATGAAAGAGGTTTCTAGTTCTGGACTGGGTGGAGGTAGAGGTTGGTGTCAGGACTCCTGAGAGTCTGGGCCCTTGTTAAAGATACACTGCTGGTCTTGGGGTGGCCCCAGCCCCACCCCAACTCCTCGCAGAAGATGGCACAGGATGCAGAGGAAGCAACCAGCCCAACATTGGACCCCCAGCCATCTGTCTGGGGTTGGACATGACACCCCTCATTAGTCCTCCCAGGTCCAGGGCTCCGAGAACAGCCCAGGAAGACAACCCTAGCTCCTGGAGGCAAACAGTCCTGCCTTGCCCTTGGGGAAGCCACTTCTTTACAGCAACCCACAGGCAGCAGACTTCCTCCTCAGAGGATTACTGAAAATGACAAACTTGCTCTGTGACTCAGGGCAGCTTCACCCAACAGAAAGTGCTGTGGGAAGAGATCTTACCTGTCCCCACAGAAAGACAGAGGAGCAGAAGTGGTAGAAATAGACTTGAGGCTGGACCTGCCAAAGTTCCCTCCTTGTTGCTGTTTGGAGAACTTGGCTAAACACCCAGGCTTTGGCTCCAACAAGCCAAAATGAGGGGTGGAGTATGAGCTGATGGTGATGGAAAGCAATGGGAAACCGAGGAGTCTGTTAAATTTTTATTTTGTAATCAAAATAGGCAATACAAACCAGTTGACATAACAAGGATTCATATAAATAACTGCTTATAAACTTTATGAGGAAAAATACCCGTGAGCATGGTGGCTGGGCTGCCAATACAGGGTGGAGACCAACCAGGCAGCTCTGCCTTTAGGAGGCAGGAGCCCAAAGGCTGAGGGGATGGCTGGGTGGGACTGCTCTGAATGGAAGGGATAAGTCACTCCATAAATAAAACACAAACTTGTAAAAACACTTATGAAGGAGTCTCATTCAGGCCAGAAGTGAGGTCCAGGATGCTGCCCTGCCAGCCCAAAGCTTAGCAAGAATCTCCTAATGGCTGGCTCTGGACTCCTGAACTACTCAGTGCTCCCCCTTCCCCACACACGGCCTGGCTTGGCCTGGCTCCAGATCTAGAGGAGGCCCGGGGCTGGCCCAACAACCAGATACAAACAACTAACTATGAGATGCTCCCTCAACGAGGCGGCAAGAGAAACCAGAAAGCAGAGGGTCCAAAGGCCCCGAAGAAACAACGAAAAACACTGAAAGTTGTACCTTAAAGCTGACCTGTACTGGGTACTCTGAACTCTCAAGGAGCCCAGAGCAGGAAAGGAAAAGGACCCCCAATCCCAAACACAAGAGAGGCACAAATCAGAAGGCCGGGGACTGGCCCCAGCCCCAGGGGGAAGGGGGTGAGCAGCTTGATAGTTGCCCTGCAGTATCCTGGGGGAAAATCCTGCCCAAACCCAGAACCAGAGGAGTGAGTTTGCACTCAAGGGGGCTACCTGGCCAGCCTGAGAACAAAGGAGAAAGGGCTGTGCTAACCACACGACCAGGGCCCCAAGGGCACAGGGCAACTAGAGTGGGGTCTCCTGTAAACAGGCATGGTAGCACAGATGAAGAAGCCCTGGTTATAATCCTTGGGCTCCCAATTCTTGTTAGTACTTTGCTAAGGAATAGATCACCCTGAGGCATCTATGAGAACAAGAGCCCTGAGGAAGAAGCAGTGGGACTGGGCCTAGGAAAACCCAGAGCCCGCTCAGGTCCCAGGAAGGCTGGCACATGGGGCCTGAGCATTCTCAAATGGCCATTGTTACTGGTACTCAGCCTTTCCTGGCCCCTCTAAGGAACTCTGGGCATCAGCACGACCAAGGTATGGAGTGGGAATGAATGTGGAGCCATCCCAAAGGATGGAGAAAGGAGGTAAGTGGCCTGCTTGCCTTTGACGTCAGCCTGCAACTGGGAAACAGTCTGTGAGGACTTCCCAGTCTACCTGCAAAAGTTAATTATTAACTCACCCTCAAAGGGTGAATCAGGATGACAGGACAAATGCAATCCAACAAGGCAAAGCCAGAGTGGGGCAGGGCAAACAAAATTCTCTAATCAGCCCTTGGCCCCAGATGCAGGCTCATACCTCCCCTCCATCCCTTCTCTCTGGGAATAGCAGCAGACAGGAGGCAAGAGATTGTCAGGGCAGGACCTGCTGGACCGGGCTCTCAGCAGACCAGATTCTCCCTTGGGGAATACAGCCTGTCCCACCCCCAGCATTCCTCACTGTGTGACACAGTTTTCTCCCATGTCCTGGGCGTATCTGTCTGACATGGTGGTCCTTAAGTCCTCGATGTCACGGCGTAGCTGTTGAACCTCTTCTAGTTTCCTCCTGATCACATCCGGCTTCTGAAAATCTAGCTGAGTCCCTGCATGCTGTGTAGCTGGGGAGGAGAGCATTTCGAGAGATTATTAGTAAATCACTCAGGAGACACTTTCCTGTGGAAAGCGCAGTATGGATATGCAGTGCCATAAGGCCTGTGGTCTTGGAACACGGCACTTTTTAAAAAGCACCTAGGAATAATGGGCTAAAATTTTGCTGCCTAAGGGCCACGTTTGTGTTTTGTCCCTTCACCCAAGTACCCCATAAGGATGCCTGTTTCCAAAACAGATTTACCGAACGTCTACTTTGCAAAACACATAAACTCCCAGAGGGTGGTGACCAGGTCTACGGAGCCCAGTTCACACATTACCACTAATGATGGGAAAGGTGGATAGGGGTGAGAGGAGAATGAAAGCCACTCTCTCCTGGGTCCCAGACTGGCCTGAGGACTCACAGTGAATGCCCAGGAGCAGGGAGAGACTGGGGTCATGACCCTGGGCCCTCTGGGTCACAATGCTACAGACAGCCTGCAGATCTTGAAGGCAACTGGCCAACTCCTGATGCAGCTCAAATGCCAGCTGGGCCGTGTCTGATGAAGATGGGGACCCTGATTGGGCCTGGCGCAGGTGTTCTTGGAGCGTCAGATTCTTCTCAATGAGGTCCTGGTTCTGTACCGAAAGCTGAGCAGAGAGGCGAGCACATTAACCCAGGCCCAGGGAAAAGCAGAGTATCTGTGCATGAGTGTGGATATATGTATATATGTATGTGGAGGGGAAGCTATGAGTCAAAGGCAATGTCCCCCCTCCTTGCACTCCCCTCTTCCCCCTCAATATCAGGCCTAGTTTCTCCTGCAGGTAGGTTGGGCCCACAGGGCTGCAGCACTGGAGGGGAAACTGCACCCCAGCAGACTGAGTCAGCAGCCTCCAGGTTTCTGTTCAGGAACCAGAGAAGATACTCCCGCCCCTCGGAACTCTATCTGAAGCCAGTCCCTCAGCCAACTCTGTTAGCCAGGCTATCAGAGAAGGTTTAACGTGAACTGTGAAATCTGAGGAGACACTGGTTTCAATCTCTCCCTGCCACCCTGACAAAAGTGGCCACCAGCCAGCCGGATCAGAGTGTGTCAGAGGAATAAAGCAGGCAAGAAAGACAACAAGACAGCTAGTGGCCACTGGGTCCTGCCTTTTCAATCCTTCACCTCATTGGAGTCAGGCTTCACTACAGAGACCAGCTATTCACATTTATCTGTGTCTCTTTCCCCCCCTTTCGGCCTCCTCTTTCAGGGCCTGGCTTGTTCCTTCTTCTTGAGCCACTTCCTGCTCTAGGCTCTGCATCCCATGGCAAGGAGGATGGGAGAACACATCAGGGGTAACAAGTCTACTTCAGACCATATCGCCTCTGGTCTGGACCATATACATAGTAAAGCTCCACCCCACCCACACACTGCTGCTAAGAGATTATTTTACAACAGCCCTGATCTGTGACTTCACATCAAAACCCTTCTCTAGCCCCTGACCATGGTAGCAATAGAGGCCAGCTCCTCAGCAGGGCATTCTAGGCCAGTCTGGCCCTTACTTACTTTTCTATCCTTATCTCTTTCTACCCTCCCTCCACACAGCCTCTACTCCAGTCACACTGAACGACTAACTGGCCTTCATCCCCAAAGGTTACAGTTCCAATACTGTTGCTCACTCCTCTTTCCCCTTTGCCCAGAATGCCCCTCTGCTCTGCCAGAACCTTCCTTAATCTGCAAATTAGATCCAATTAATCCTAATATTGCCCTGCTACTCATACCTCCATCATGGCTCATGAGTACATTTGTTGGCTGTGCACATGATTCCTCCCTCCACTAGACCATAACTTTCTTGAGGGCAAGGAATGTCCATTGAGTTGAGTTCAATTATTTATCGAGCAATTACTGTTGACAGGCACTGGGAATACTAAAAAGAATACCAAACAATTCCTGTCTTTGAGGAGCTCACAGCCAAATGCCCTTGACAATACCGTATATTAAATGTTTTTGACAGAGATGAGAAGGGGTAGAGAGAGCACTCTCTCGGGCCCCTAATCTAGTTATAATGCGTGCGTGCGTGCGTTTGTGTGTAGGGGTCGTCAGGGTCAGGAGAGGGAGGTATTTATAGTTGTTATCTTCTGCCTCTCATTCTGGTTCATTCCAATTTCCCCCCAGTTTTGAAACTGACTTGAACAAATAAAGTATAAATATTTCTGAACTTTTCCATTTTGTATTAATAAAAAGTTTAGCAGCCAAGGAAAACGTCTCACCACTATGAAACACCCAAGGTGACCATTTTGAATCCACGTAATTCCACCAAAGTCTCATCATGGGTAAATATACTATTTTAAATGCTGTGGAACCTCAGAGTTCCAAGAAACATACTTTGAGATCCACTAAAAACTACTAAAATCCTGGGATTTTAAATGGATGTAGGGAATTCCCCGGCAGTCCAGTGGTTAGGACTCCACTTTCACTGCCGAGGGCCTGGGTTCAATCCCTGATCGGGGAACTAAGATCCCACAAGCCGAGCGCAGCTAATAATAATAATAACAAATGGATGTAAACACTCACTAGGCTTGACTATCTCCTTACAGGACTTGAAATATGTGAACTAAATAGACCCACATAATGGCAAGGGTAGGACTGCAGCTTTCAGTTCTTCCTCAGTGGACGTGCATCTCTCCTGTTTGGTGTGAAAACCTTTTAGAATCCAAAGAGAATCTGTACCTAGGATTTCTTGGAGAACCCAATTAAGGACACTCCTACTCTGGCCCAAAATAGAAACCAGGAGTTGTCTTTGATTTTTCCTTATTCTTCAACCTCCTACATTCTATCAGTCACTGATTCCTCTCAATTTTACCTCCTAAAGTTCATTTAAATTTGTCCCCTCACAACTCCTTCTTGCGACGCTGCCTTATGCATCATCCTTCATCATCTCTCACTAGGATTTCTGCTACAGTCCACTGGCCTCCAGCCTTGTAACTCTCCAAGTGCCAATATTCTTCCACAGTCAAGCCTGAGTTGCAAACCTGACCACATCACGCCCCAATTAAATACTACAGTAGATTCCCATCACCTACCTAAAGAATAAAAGCTAACTTAGTTCAACAGTCCCAGCCCTCCCATAGCCCAGTTCTCCATTTATCACCTTACTTCAGCAATATCAAACTGCTTGCAGCTCCATGTGCAAACCCTGCTGTTTCATGCCTTCATGTTCCTACCCATGCTGTTCCTTCTATCAGGAAATACCATCCTATCCTGTGCCTCCTCATTGACTGGCTAACCCTTCCTCCTCCTTCAAGAAGGCTCATGAGGGCTTCCCTGGTGGCGCAGTGGTTAAGAATCCACCTGCCAATGCAGGGGACATGGGTTCAAGCCCTGGGCCGGGAAGATCCCACATGCCGCTGAGCAACTAAGTCCGTGCGCCACAACTACTGAGCCTGCGCTCCAGAGCCCGCGAGCCACAACGACTGAGCCCACGTGCCGCAACTACTAAGCCCGTGTGCTGCAACTACTGAAGCCTGCGCGCTAGAGCCTGTGCTCCGCAACAAGAGAAGTCACTGCAATGAGAAGCCTGCACACTGCAACGAAGAGTAGCCCCCGCTCGCCGCAAGTAGAGAAAGCCCGTGTGCAGCAACGAAGACCCAATGCAACCAAAAATAAATTAATTAAAAAAAAAAAAAGAAGGCTCATGATCTCCAGAAACCCTTCCTTGACCTCCCTACTTCCACTGACTCTTCTATGCTCCCCCAGGATAATATGGATGCTCTAACAGTACTGTGCTAAAACCCCTTCCCGACAAGAATGTAGGCTAAAAGCACTGACTGGGTCTCATTCTTGTGCTCCTAACACCGAGTAAATTGCATGGCAGAGAAGAGTGTTGGGTGAATTCTAGAAATTCCATCATTAAGTCCTGCCCACCATGTCCCAAGGACTCCAGCTCACCTGTACTTGTGAACGCAACTGATCAATCTTCTGCTGTTGCTTCTCCACAATCTGAAAGGCAAAGTTATCAAGGAAGGCTGTAAGCACATGCTGATAGTGAGGTCAGAGGGCAAGAGGCTGTACTAGGATCTGTGGTCTGGCTCTTAGCCCAACTGGCTATAGCCAGTCAATAGTGAGAACAGAGTGAAGACAAGTTAGCTCTACCTACAGAAAAATAACCCAGACTCCCTATCCTAGCTAACTAGCTTCACACTCCTGTGCTCTAGTCACAAAGAGATTTAAACAAAGAGGAATGTAGTGTGGACCTATGACCACCATGGGGAAGTCGGGTGGAGAGACACCCTCACCCTGATGATTGTAGGCCAGTAGAATCAACTTCATATACAGCCAGTGTATATTCTGGTTCTTTGGTAAAGGACATGACTGAAAATTCAGTTTAATGAAGCTCGTCCTATCCAGGGCTATGACAGTTATCATTACTTATAGCTTTGGTCACACTGACTGTTCGAGGAGAGAACCTAAACAGGCCTAGTTTCCTGTCCTTTGAGACCTCAGGTACTCTCTGAACCATTTCTGGGTCTTCTTTTGTGCTGACCTTCAACCAGTCTCAATGCTAGGCCCCGAGCTCCTTTTTCTCTGCTGAATTAGAGCCCCCTCACTGGGTAGAACTTTGCCCAATGCAAGAGGTTCTGAATAGGGCCTGAGCCATGAATAAAGTGCACCAAGCTTCAGTGTACCATTTTGGAGCATATAAATTTGGATGTTCAGAGGCACGTCCTTCCCTAACTTTGCTTGCCAGTCATAAGGATCAATATCTAAAATGCAAATTTATTATGCAGGGATGACTTCTCAGAAAGAGAGAAAAACTCTGGGCAGCAGATCCTAGAGGGCTCAGGGTCAGAAATTCATGGTTCCCTACCAATACCCAATCTTTTCTTTCCTAAGCCTACCCCGTTACAGCCTGGACACCTTCAGTCACCTTTCGAAGGGAATCACATTCCTTCTGCCAGGACTCCATTTCCACTTGGGGACCTTCTCCCCGTTGAGCTGTATCTTCCCCACTGGCCGCCTCCACACAGTGCTTATCTTGCAGGCTGAAAAACAGTGGCCTCTTAAAGAACTCTGAGGGCTTCCCTGGTGGCGCAGTGCTTGAGGGTCCGCCTGCCGATGCAGGAGA